ATAATGTAAATTTCCATAGCTCTGGAGAGGCAGACCTTGTGGATATTAGCACCACTGCTGCTCAAAAGTCTGCAAATGACCTCCCTCGCTTGTCCCAAAAGACATTTCTCCCTCTCTCGCTCTCTCCTCCTCTCACATATGCAAATACATATTACTCTTAGCACAGTCTTCTAGCTTTAGCAGAACCTTATGGTCTCCAGTGGTCTCACGTAGAGAGTGGATGACATCAGTGACATACATTCCTATTCCCACAAGACAAGCTACTAACATTATTCCTTCAGCTGAACAAGTTTGGGAGCACGAGGAGGACACTGAGAATTAGAATGTTTACTTTTTCTTCAAAATTTTCTTTTCTTAACGTTTTCTAGTAACTTTCAGTTGTAGCAGATCTGAAGGAATGGAACACACGCTGAAAACGCAGTTCACCGACAAAAAAGAATGAAAAATTCTAAATAATAGATGCGTTGACTTGGGATCAATTCCTGGTGCCTTTGCTCAGAAAAGGTTTAGTTATGTAAACATGATGTGACTGAAGTACTTATTATGGCAGAAGGAGAGTCTTTTGACAAGAAGTGTTCCTAAAAAAGCATTTGTAAGTTTTCTTACCTTCAGGCAAATCATCAGCATACTCAAAATCAGCTTGCTACCAGGACATGTACAGGTTTCCAGTACAGGCAAAGACCTACTTCTGAATTACTCATCTTCTTCTAAGCAAATGCACAGCTATATTCTATGTGCAAAAGTCCGGTCTGTTTCCCGAAAGAAGCAACAGTGGGAAAATGCATCAGAAATACATACAACAGAATACAATGAATAGAAGCAGCATGCCACAAATCTCACAACCTGTGGTGCTTTCCTCAAGCCTGGCTCTTGAAGCCCAGAGGCATGGAGATCTATGTACGGAACATCAGCTTTCAACAAAGAAAATAATTTTCTACTTCTCATTCTTGCAGAAAAAAAAAAAATCTTGAAAATGTGAAAAAAACACAACCAAAAGGTTCAGATGTGAAATATTCCAAACATAATACGTACTAAAAATCAGAGGGTTTTAAAGGCAACATTATTTTGAGGTCCCAGTGAAGATTTGTTTTAAACAATTTATTCTTACTATAGTACTAGCAATTTTAAGAAACATTTCTATTAGAAGAGCTATCTATTTGATTTGATAGCAATCAAATTGCCCAGTGCAGTCAGCTTCTTAATGACAGCTGTTGGCTCTAACACAAGCAGTAGAATGAAACCTGCTCCCTGAAGCCCTTTCTGCATTATAGACACCTCAATCAAATCTGGTGGGAAGAAGCCTCTTTATTTACAGCAGTTCAATGAAAACAGAATTCTAGTCATCAAGTCTATTATTCACTGGATGTTCCTGTAAATCACATTTCTATAGCAAGTGCATGTTTCAGTGCTCATCATGTTACAATTCTGTTACTGGGATTCCAGACACAAAACTGCTGGTAATGAGATTTTCCCAAAATTACATGAAATTACATCTTCTTTCTTGTGCACATCCACCAGAGATGGACTGAACTCAACAGAGAGATGCAGACCCAAATTCAATTTCACATGCATCTTTTAAAAAAGAATCCAATTAAAAAAGAAGTTTATTTTTTTCATTTTATTCTGGTTAAAAGTACAGTTATCATCTACTTTCCTCATCCCTTTCCTGAAGAGAAGGGATGATGGAAGGTAATAAAGGGAACAACTGATCCCAGGCAGTGATTCGCACATCCAGAGGCATTTTGTGACTCTAAGTAGCCGGTGTTTGATGCTGGCATTGGGATTTGGCTTCAATTCCTTCAGCTCAGCTCTAGGAGAACTGACAGACCACTAGAGGACAAATCCCTGCAAGCATCACCTTATGGATGTCTCCTTCCCCTCAGCTCTATCCAGCAGGTTTTACCACAGAACAGACTAAGGCAGATTTGTGCAATAACTGCCAAATACATTGATACTCAGTAGAGTTTTGTAATCAGTCACACATGTACAAGGAATTGTTTGGATGTAATAAATGTGTCCCGTATGTCAAGAGCCCCATGTAACACAACCAACAATGTATATGGGAATAAAAGAGCACGCTGCTGTAGCTGGCTTCAGGGCCTGTAGAGGCCTGAATAGTAGTTACTGGCAAGTAGCTTCCAGTCCCTGTCATGATAAATCTGTGAACATGCACATAGTTCATCATTAGCAGATATCTCAGCACGATCTCTTCAGAGTGGAAGCCAATTACAAACTCCCCAAGTGGCAGGAGGGCAGCATGCTGCCAGAATAGACTGCTTCAATCCTGACTGCTGTTCTGATGAAAACGCACATGATTTTTCTTGACACAACATAAATAAGATCAGAGCAAAACATTATGTTACAGGTGAATTAGTGCCTCCATGTAACGCACTCATGGCCCATCAGACACAGCCTGGAACAATTAAGTTCACGTAATGTGCCTCAGTTCTGCATTTCTATCTGAACCTCTGATTTAGCTAACAGACTTTCAAAAACAAATTATAGCCAGACAAGGCCTTACTGATTATACATGTGCAGATGCTGAAAAGCAATTATTATTCCAGCTAAAGTTGTTATTACTGCAGAATCCAAATGTTTCCTCTTGATTTGCCTTCTCCTGTCACTAAGTAGATCCTAATTGCTGTTAGCCACAATAAAGTTACACTGCCAACCCTTGAAAGATATTGCCATCCTAAGTCACGATGTCTTCCTTAAGAGGGCCTTCAAAAAAACACTAGGTGCATAAAAAGATTAGAAAGCAATTTGCAGTTGTGCAGTTCCCATTGGAAGCATTAGCTCTGTCCATAAGGTCAGATGACCCTAAAATAAAACAGATCTTCTGAAATCCTGTTCTTGGCGAGCATGACAATCTGAGAAATCCTGCCTGAAAAGTTGCTCCAGATCCAGATTAAGAGAGAAACAAACAAACAATCCCTCCAACACAAGTCCTTTTTTTGTGTCAGCCAGCAGTGACATGAAGAGCATACCTCCTAGGACACATATTCCAAGGGGGTTTAACATACCTGTCTCCTTCTCCCCTCTACTCCCCGAGAATAAAGTTTGACAGATTTATTTTGGCAATTTTACACATATTGCAACTTCAGTAGTGATGATCTGAACATTTCAGTTGTGCTCACAGCCGGCCGGGGGGGATTCCTAGGGAAACTGGAAATGTTTGTATGCCGCTTGCGACCCCTACTTCAGAAAGTTGAAGGCAAAAGGAAGGAGCGGGCGTCCCATGCCACCCCTCGCACTGCGCTGGCAGTCGCCCTCCCCCGAAGTAACCGCAAGTCCCTGGGCGCTGGCCCTGCACTGCGATGCCCTGCACTGCGATGCCCGGCACCGAGAGGCACCGCTCTGCCCGTCACCCCGCCTCGGCACCCCTCGCTGCCGCCGGAGCGATGCGGGCCGGCCGCCTCCGCCCCCGCAGCGGGCGAGGGGGCGCCGGCAGCGGGCGCGCCCGCCGACGGGGGGGGTG